GGTGCTAGTGGGTCCAGTCCAATGCCCTTGTACACAGGGCCAGTGAAGCCTCTATTCACGCCATCATCTCTTTCTGGAACAAGAGAGAAAGAACGAAGGCTGCTGCCTCTCCGCTGAGCATAACCCCGAAGCGGCCCTGGGTTGGTGCTCCCCAAGGGGCTGGGCAGATTCAGGCCCAGGGAGGTTGTGGGGGGTGGGTTCCAGGAGGATGGGAGTGCAGGCTGTGGAATCCACAGACACCCCATTCTTAGGTTAACCACGATGTAAAGAGCTGGGTGTGCCTTCCGGGGTTGTGGGAAGGAACTTGCTCGGATCAGCTGGGAAGGGTCACATGCGAGGTATGGTGTCAGGAAGGGGCCGGGAGTGCCTCGGCCACCATCATTATCCCTGTGTGCAAGACCCGCGCGACCCCAGCCCATCTTTTTCCCCTGGTGCGGTGTTTCCTCTCATTGGGGAAACTGAGGCTGTGAGGGGCACACATAGCCAACCCCCTGTGTGAGTCTGCTTGGGCGGCCCTCCCAAAGCACCACAGGCTGGAGGGCTAAAACAACAGACACTTGCTCCTCAGTGCTAGAAGCACTGAGGCTGGAAGTCCGAGGCGAGAGGGTCAGCGGGCCAGGTTGCTCTGGGCCTCTCTCCTTGCCCTGCAGATGGCCGCCTTCTCCCTGCGTCTTCCCATGGCCTTCCCTCTGCGCGTCCGTGTCTTGATCCCCTCTACTTGCAAAGACACCAGTCGTATTGGATTGGGGCCCACCCTAGGGACCTCCTTTTACTCTAATCACCTCTTTGCGGGCCCTGTCTCCAAACACAGCCGCATTCCAAGGTCCTGGGGGTCAGGCCTTGCATGAATGAGTCAGCGTGGGGGGTCACAATTCAACTCGTAACACCCCTCACGCGCCCGAGAGGATGCAGAGAAGCCGTTTCTAGAAGGAGAGGATCCCAGGGCTGGGCTCAAACGCCTCAGGAGGCCCAAGGCTGTGTACACAGAGGGGAGCCCGGCTGCTCCTCTGTGGGGAGCCGCTCCGGGGGGAGCCGAGGCCGCTGACAGGAACACAGTGCCAAGCCCGGTGTGCAGGGCGAGCAGGGCCCAGGACACGAGAGCGGGAGGTGGGGGCCTGGAGGGCAAGTGCGCTGGGGAACAAGGGGAGCAGGGTGAGGGCCCAAGCGTGGCCGGGGTTCAGAGCCAAGCCTGAAGACCCGCTGTGTGTGCGCTGCCTGGTGTGTGGCCTGAGGGGCAGGTGTGCCCCAGCCCGGGTTAGCAGCTCTCCCTCTGTGGGGGGTTTGGGCTACCACGTCCCCATGTCACACCCCTACAGCACTTCTCCCCCACCCCTGGACCTGCCCAACCTCGGATCTGTGTAGATCTTCCCCTCCCCCGTCTGTGGTCCTTCCCTCCCCGGGCCGGGCCCTGCTCCATGCCGAGGTGCAGGCTAGCGTGCACGCTTGCACACACACACAAGCGTGCACACACCTTCCCACAGAGCGTCCCTGAAAACGTGACCTGTCTGTCGACAGCTCCGCAGGTCTCACCTTCCTCCCCTCCAGCCCCCACCACCCCAGAACACTTCCAGGTCCTCTCCCACGTCCCTAGGGAAACCGAGGCCCAGAGAGATCAAGCAACTCCTTACTCAGGCTCAGAGTAAGTGAGCACAGGAGAACAGGGCTTTAGTGCTGCAATCTCAGAAACACTCGCCTCCCCCACAGAGGAGGCCTCAGGGCCCCGGAGGAGAGAATGACTCATGGTGGTGACTGGAGCGGGTGTCGTGTGTCACGACGACATAAATACAAAAACCGTAGCACCCTAATACTGTCTTTTCTGGCTCCCCTTTCTGAAAGCAAGCTGTTTTCTTAACACAAGTAGCTCCCCCTTTCAGAAACTCAGACTCCTTATCTGCGAGGCTACCGACCCTGCGCCAGGACCCCTCCCCCTGAGCGGCCACTCAGTCGCCTCTGCTGTAGGAGGAGGCACTCCTACCCCACACGGCACCCCAGTCAGTGGTGGGCAGCTCATTCCGAGAGCCCCACTCATTCCACAAAAATCTACTGAGGGCAGAGGGGTGCGTGCCAACGTGGTGTCCAGTCCCTTCCTCCGTGCCCCCATCTGCTGCCCACCTGGTGGTTCCTGCCCCCACTGGGCCTCCCAGGGGTCCAGATGGCCCACCGTGGGGTTGGGACAGTGAGAGAGTCCGAGGGGACTAAGCGCCACTCAGCAGCCTCTGGGATGTCCTGGGGACGGTAGGCAAGGCAGGGCCAGTGGTTATGATTTCGGCAGCCCCATCCTGCACACCCCAGCCTGGGGGGTGGTGAACACTTCCAGCTGCAGCAGCTGCCCTTCTCCAGGCCCAGCGGGACAAGCACGGTGGCCCTCCCCATCTCAGCCCTGGCCATCCCCCCACACAGAGCAGTGCCCCCCTCCTCCCCCTTGGCCTCTTAGCCAACATCCCTGTGAGGGGGCCAATGTCACCATCTCAGTTTCTGATGTGGGAACCAAGGCCCAACGTGGGAAGTAACTTGCCAGCGAGTGTCACAGGGAGAACCTTGAACTTGAGTCTTGAAATCTTTGCCTGCTTCCTGCTACTTCCAAAGCAGTTGGCTGGCTCCTTGTGCCCTGGCTCAGATTGTTACCCTGGACCCCAACATGTGTGACTAGGGCCAGCCTCCCCCCTACCCCGATGGCAGGGGTACCTCGGAGACTCCTGGGGTAACTGTGGGGTGGGGATTCCAGCCTGGAAGGCTCTCCCCATCTCTCCAGACATCTTCCTGTCCTCCTCTTGAACTTGGCTGCCCTCCTGTACGCCACCACTGGCAGCCGGTGTACCTTGCAGGGTGCAGAGCATCCAGGGGGGGAGGGTGGCCCAGGAACAGAGTTCTCCTGGGAATGGAAGAAGCAGTCTGGTGGTCAGAGCATGGGCTGCGCCCCCATGGGTGGTCTCCCCAGCTGGTCCTAAGGGCCGCTCAGAGAGAGCCCTAAGTAGGTACATGAGCCCAGGTGCCACTCCTCTTAGATCACCTGACCCAAAGGGCCAATGCCCTGCCCCAAGCCAAATACCTCTTTGAATGAGAAAATTAAACCACAGATTTAAAAAAAAAAAAAAAAAAAAGACATAGACACCAGAGCCACCAGAGTCTCCAGAGCTGGGAATTTTTAGTTCATTGCCTTTATGAGGAATTGGCTGTGAAGGTTTGTAGAACTGTCAAGGTTTCATTGATGGTGATAAAATGATAAATGTGCATCAACTGCAATAACCACTATAGCGTTGATTAGGAGTCTCCTCCTTGGGACACAGGTCCCCACAAATCACTCAGCGTAAATCAGCCATGATTTGTTGAAGTCTTGCTCAGTGCACAGACGCACAGATAACTAGCTTCCATACAAGACAGGATGAGAGGTTCCCTCCAAGAAGGAAAATCGCAGGAATTGAGGTCATATCCTGGAGGGCTTCATGGAGGAGGTGGCATTGGAGCTGGCCCTCAGAGAAAGATTCCTACCTGGATGTGTACAGTTAGGAAAGAAGAGGATTTGACTCAGAGGGCACAGCATGAGCAAAGGAGGGGAGATAAGGTGGCATGGGCAAGTGCTAAAGCCAAAAGTTATCCAGTTATGCTGGCAGCGGGGACTTGGAGGGAGCAGTCCTGGGGAAAGGGGAGCCTGAAACCCCACTGTAGAGGACCCTGAGGGCCACACTCAGGCTCAAGGTGAGTTTGGATTTTGTTTTGTAAGCAGAAGGGAGCGATTCTTTCATAATACTTACAGACGTTGGCATTGTGTTGCACAATTGAGTGCTTTCTTACTTGATTCTCGAAAACAGAACAATGACAGCACCACATCCTTCAAGATCAGCACATTATTATTACCCTGATTTTTAAAGGTGAGGAAAGTGACTCAGGGGTCCATGGAAAGATCCAGAACTGCTTCTCAAACCTCGAACCCCCACATCTTGTTCCTTCCTATTCCTTGACCGTGTCCAACAGGAGTTGAGCAGGCAGCGAGGAGCCAGCAAGGTCCCATTTGTGTCCAGGACAAACACATCACTCTGCTGCTATGGAGGGGAGGAGATGCCAAGGAGGCAGTTAGGGGGAGAAGGGAGACCCAGTCGTGTCATGTTACATTGTCATAGCAACAGGATCCAGGCCAGAACCGGGGCAGGGTTCTGGGGATGGAGGACGGGGTTAGCTGGGGACACACTACAGAGTCAACAGGTGGAATTGCTAGAATTTGGCAGGGTCCTGCACGGATGTGGGGAGGGGACCAGAGACATCAGATCCAAGGCCCACGTTGGGTTTGGGAGGCTGGGGTTAAATTCCCTGCATGTATAATGGCGTGGGGGGAGGGAGTAGGGGGAAATAAGGGACCTCCGGGGGCCCTGCACCATCTGAGGCGGCTGGTACAGGAACGGGCTTGGCTTTGAGAGTCAGGTGGCCCCAGGGTTCGAATCTGAGTTCTGGCCCCTGTCCCTCACGTGACTTGGGTAAGTTACTTAAGCACTCTTCACCTTGACCTATAAGATATAAGAATAGGTTCTCAAAAAAGAGAAATTATTGATAGAAAACGGATTGAATCCAGGGTGATGGAAGAATACCTAGCTGGGAGGATCCATCTGAGGATCAAGCAAACTAATGCCTGCAGAGCGCTGAGCAGGTTGTAACGGCAAGAGTCCCCGCTTTCCCAACGCCACACTCTGCCCTCCGCCCTTTCTGCACACTACTTGGTAAATCTTCACAACCGCACTTCGAAGCAGAAACCCATTTTATCCTCATTTTTCAGACGAGGATGCCCGGGGAATAAAACCTCTCTAAAGCCTCACAGTGCTTTGCACTGGTATTAGGTCCACCCCCACGCTGGGGCAAAAGAGGCAATGGAGAGGGGACAGTTGTCCTGCCAGCACAGGCAGGGCGGGCTCGGAGCTGACGCCCTCTGCGGGGGGGGAGGCTGGGGTGCCCTGCGGTCCCAGCACAGCCTCTGCTGATCCCTCCGGGTTCTTGCCTCTGTCTGTCCCCAGCCTCCGGCCGCTCCCACCCGGCCAGCCCCAGCCCCCCGGGGCCGCAGGCCAGCCCAGTATTGCCGGTCAGCTACCGCCTGTCGCGGACGCGGCTGGCCTTCTTCCTGCGGGACGCGCGGCCCCCACCTCCTGCGGTCGCCAACGGCTCCCTGCAGCGCTCCGAGCCCTTCGTCGTGTTCCAGACCAAGGAGCTGCCCGTCCTCAACGTCTCCCTGGGGCCCTTCAGCACCAGCCAGGTGGTGGCCAGGGAGCTGCTGCAGCCGTCCAGCACCCTGGACATCCCCGAGCGCCTGACCGTCAACTGGAAGGTGCGGGCCTTCATCGTCCGCGCCCGCGTGCCCGCCTCGCAGCCCGTGGCCCAGGTGCTGTTCTACGTGGCCGGCCGCGACTGGGACGACTTCGGCGTCACCGAGCGGCTGCCCTGTGTCCGCCTGCACGCCTTCCGGGACGCCCGGGAGGTCAAGAGCTCCTGCCGCCTCAGCGGGGGCCTGGCCACCTGCCTGGTGCGGGCCGAGCTGCCCTTGGCCTGGTTTGGGCCCCCGGCCCCCGCCGCGCCGCCCGCCGCCCGCCGCAAGTCTCCGGACGGGCTGGACCCCGAGGCCGCGGGGGAGAGTCAGCAGGCTGAGCTCTACTACACCCTCCACCCCCCGGACGCGTCGGGGGGCTGCGGGGGCGCCCGTCGGGGGGCGGGGCCGGGGCCGAGCGCCCGCGCCGAGAGCCCCACCCAGCACCCGCTGCTGCGCATCGGGAGCATCAGCCTGTTCCGCCCGCCCCCCAGGAGGACCCTGCAGGAGCACAGGCTGGACAGCAACCTGATGATCCGCCTGCCGGATCGGCCCCTCAAGCCTGGGGAGGTGCTCAGCATCCTCCTCTACCTCGCCCCCAACTCCTCCTCTCCCTCCAGCCCCAGTGTGGAGCATTTCACACTCAGGTAGGGGGCTTGTGGGTAGAGGGATCTACCTTCCCTTCCGAGGTCAAATGCATAGCTCGCCCCCTTTAGGGGTGTGCCCACGCCTGCCTGGCCAGCACCCTAATCCTACCTCTTCCATTTATCGCTTGAGAAACCTCAGGAAGACACCTTATTTACTTAAGCCTGTATTCTCATCAGCTTGATGACAACAAAAATTTCTGCCCGACCTCTGTAGCTCACAGAAATAGTCGAGGAGAAAATGTCAGTTCCCACAAGCATAGGTATCAAAAATGATAGAATGGAGTTGGAAGGGCCCTTAGATGTTGGCTGGTGCAACTCTCCCATTTTACAGATGAGGAGACCGAGGCCAAAGAGAAGAAATGGAGACCAGAGAGCAGCCCATTGGCTGGGAGCCAGAAGATGAGCAGGAGTCTGTCCATGTGTCAGGCCATTTGCCCAATCCTGGAGATGGGAGAAAACATTCCAGGAGTCCCAGCCTTTTCTACACCCTGAACGGGATTACAGTTTATAAATTCAGAAATACCTTAAGTCATATCAAGGCCCCACCAAAATATTCCCCCCACCCCAGACATTATGCATAGGACCCAAAACATCACCATTAACCTCCAGCTTCTTTGAGTGACGTATCGCCCTCTTTCCTGAGTGTACCACCTTAAAGTTCAGATATTCCTGGAAGGGATAGACCTGATTCAATGATTAATACCTGAATGTGAATATGACTTAAATCACTCATCACAGATTTTGGGCTGCATTAATAGGAGTAGAGCATGTAGAATTAAGGAGGTGGTCACCGTTTTGCTTTAGTCAGTATTAATCAGAGCACAGCTGAAGTGTTGTATTTAGTATAGGCCTCAACGCCTGTGTGTTCAGTGTCCAGAAGAGGGTTGCAAGGGTTGAACCCTAGTTGCAAAGACTGACTTGAAACTATGGCAGAAAGTAGTAATTGGAGGAACTAGAGATTTTAGGCCTGGAGAAAAGAAGACTCAGGGAACACTTGCTTCCCTCTTGCTGTCCAAAGAACTGTTACAATTGAGATGAAGGAGAGTTGTTCTCTCTTGCCCCAGCAGAACCCATGACTGTTAGACTTCAGCTAAATATAGGAAAGGGATTTCTAGTCCTTAGGGGCTTTCTGAGAATGGAATTAGATGTGTGCAGTAGTGAGTACTCTGTCACTGAGGTATGCAAGTAGAGATTTGGTAAGAACTTGGCAGAGAGATATGGTAGAAGCAATTGTAGCCTCCACGGAGGGTCGGAGGTTTCAGCTACATGACACCAGACTCCCCAGGTTCATCTCCAGTGTTGAGTCCAAGATAATTTACTGGGGTAATTTACTCACCTGCTCCCCCTACTCCCAGCCCCAGCGGGGGGGCGGGGGGAGTGGCCAGGTGGGCAGCCACTGGGCCCTAGGCTGACTGTCTCCCTCTCTTTCTTCCCTCTTTGTCCCAGGGTGAAGGCCAAGAAGGGTGTGACCCTTCTGGGCACCAAGTCACGGAGTGGTCAGTGGCATGTGACCTCGGAGCTGCTGACTGGGGCAAAGCACTCAACAGCCACCGTGGATGTGGCCTGGGCCCAGGGCACCCCGCTGCCCCCCTGGTAAGCACCTCTGTCCTCTCTGCAGGACAACACCTGGAAGGGGTGGGGGCATTCTTGATGGAGGAAGCCAGGCTGGCAGAAGGGCAGGCGCTCAGGTGGTGGGGACTCTGAGGTCCAGGCTGGGGCACCTCGGGTGGCTGGAGAAGGCTCAGAAGTCCCCAGCAGGCAGGCTGCTGAGGAGGGCTGGGGGCCCCACCAGGGATTTCAGAGATCCTGGGCTGCTCCCAGCCCTTCCTCCTGGGCTCTGCTTCCTGCCCCGACCCTGCAGGGAAGGCCAGGGGCCTCTGGAGATCCTGCAGCTGGACTTTGAGATGGAGAACTTCACCAGTCAGTCGGTCAAGCGGAGGATCATGTGGCACATCGACTACCGCGGCCCCAGCGCCCGGCCTGACCTGGAGCGGGCGGTCACTGAGTTGACAGTCATCCAGCGGGATGTCCAAGCAATCCTGCCCCTAGCCATGGTGAGCAGGGTGGTGACTGGCCAGTGGATGCATGCGTCTGTTGCGGGTGCATGTGCATGACCAGCATGTGCCCCGCTGAGCGTACATATGGATCAATGCGTGTGTACGTGTGGGCCTGTGCCCGAGTGTGTGACTGCCTCCTGCACCCAGGTGTGCCTGTGAGTGTAGGGGTGTGTGTGTGTGTGTGCGCACGCACACTCACTGGAGGCAGGCAGTGCTCTGTGCCTCATGCTGGAGTAGGACAGCAGATGCTCGGGGGGACAGAGGTGGAAGAAGTCACCCATGGAGAGGCCATTCAGGGGAGGCTTCCTGGAGGAGGTGGCCATGCAGTTGAGCTTTGAAGGACACGTGGAAGGAAGGGCTCATACAACCAGAGACGGTGAGGAGGGTGCTCTAGGCAGGGGATCACGCGGACAAAGGTGTGGTGATGGGAATGTGAGTAGTTTGTTCTAAGGCGCGGTGGTTGGGGAAGGGTGCCATGGGGTGGTAAGGCTGGAGGAATCGTCTGCAAACAGCCCAGGGGTGCCTGGAATGGCTGGGCAGATGTGTTGGATGTGACTCTGTGAACGTGGAGGAGCATGTAGGGCGTCAATAGAAGATGATGGGGGACTGGGGAAGGACTGTTTCCTGGCAGCGGGCTGAGGTAGACCAGAAGGCTACTGCAGGAGGCCAAGTGAGCAGAGTGTCTGAGAAGACTTGTGAGACTGAGCGGCTGCACCTCTCCGCACATGTGCAGGTGTCCCCTGGGGAAGGCTGCACATCTGAGGACTGGGGCAGCCAGGCGCCTGGGCCTTGGCTGGCGTGTCCTAGGAGAGCGGAGGACCACAAGTGTCCCCACTCAGCAGAGCCCCACCCTCCCTGCAGGACACCGAGATTATCAACACGGCTATCCTGACTGGCAGGACAGTGGCCATCCCGGTCAAGGTCATCGCCATCGAGGTGACTGGCCTTGTCCTAGATGTCTCTGCCTTGGTGGAATGCAAATCTGACAATGAGGACATCATCAAGGTGGGCTTCCTGGAGGTGGGGACCCTGGGAAGAAGGCCTCAGACCTTCAGGGGGAGTGGAACTCCAAGCCAGAGGGGAATTGGCATCCCAGGCAGCTTCCTGTTGCAGGCAAAAGGAGGAGAAACGTGGGGGTGGGGGTGGGGGGAAGGTGCCAGTGGGAATAGCTTCAGGCATCCGTGCCTGGTGGGGGTGAGGAAAAGCCCCGGGTACTACTGGTCCTGGAGGGCTTCCTGCAGGAATATGAAAGAGACCATTTGTCAGGCAGAGGGGAGAAGGCAGTGTTGACAGCCCGAGCTCAATCCAGTATAGCAAGTGATGATTGAGCCCCTGCCCGGACAGACACAGGGCAAGGCAACCGGGGCGGGGGGGGGGTGGAGGGGGGCCCTCAAGGACACACCCTGATGCCCTGAACCCAGGCGCTGGTGCCCAAATGGAGGAGATTCAGCTCAGAGTGGAAGCCCCAGAAGCATGGAGTGAAGGTTGTGTAAGAAGTTAAGCCAGGAGTGAAGGCTGTGTAAGGAAGGACCCGCTCAGGGCACACACACCCCAAATCCTCCAACTCCTGCGGGCCCTTCCCAGAGCTCCCTCCCCAGAGACCCACTCTGGGCCCCAGGTCTCCACGGCCCAACAAACGGGACAGCCGTCTGACTCAAATGACCTAGTTTGCCACCTCCCCAGGAGGGCCTCCAGATTTGCCCCTTCGGACAGCCATCTCAGGCAGTGGGACAGACAGTGACGCAGGGGAGTGGCAGTCCTGGTGTTGGTGTGGTGGGTGAGCTGTTTATCAGGCCAGCCTCCAGCAGGTGCCCAAATCAGATGATCAGACAAGGGAGTCTGTTCCCTGAGCCTGTAAATAGCTCAGCCTGAAGGAGAGCAGGAGGAGTGGGCCGTGGGTGTCCTTCTCCCTCAGGCTAACTGGGGCTAGCCTGGGGTGTGTGCACTCTCTCTCTCCACATTCCGCCCCAGATCCCTCAGGTCTGGGGAGCTGGAGCCTCACCTCATCCCTCCCCCACCCAGGAAGAATGCCCCCCAAGTGAGCCAGAGCAGAGTAGAAGCCTTGCCCAGGCCCGTGGGGCTTTCCAGGGCTGGCAGGCTGGGACAGGAAAAAAAAAAAAAACGGACCTGCTCTCAAAGGCCCTCATCCAGCACCTGCCTCTGCCCCCCAGACTCCCCCACTCCCCCGCTCCGGCCGCAAAGTGGACCAGAACAAAGTCTTGACTGCTTAGATACCAAAGGGAATTCACAAAGATTCTAAATGGAATTTGTTTCCACTCTCAATGAAATACACTCAGGTTCTTTATGGAGTTTGCAAACACTCGGAATGGAATTTACCAGCCTTCAGATGGAATTCTCTGCCTTCTGAAGTGGGAAATGAGCATTTCTGGCAGGGCTGCTCTCCCACGTCCTACCACCCCCCATCCGAGATGGTTAAGGGAGCTAGCAGGAGTTTGGGAATAGCCAGGGGCTCATCAGAGATGAGCCACCGTGCCGGCACCCTCCCTGCCCCCCACCAGAGCCTTCAGAATGTCATGAGCCCCACCAGCCGCATGATTAGACCCTCCCCAAATGCGAGGGTGTGCACCCATGGGCGTGTACCAGCAGGAACACCTCAATGCATTGCACATGAGATTCACTCCTAGAGTGTGCCAGGTACATACTGGGCACACTTGACATATACACACCCACCTACATCTGTCCTGAGTACTGGCACAGGTGTCCCCCGAGATGTGTTCGGCAGGCACGTGCTTATCCAAGGAACCTCTAGGAATATGAGTTGGGGTCCTGGTGGCCATGCATTTGTAAAAGCTGCACCCACTGGTAGCAGCCTTCCACCTGTCTGTCCTAATTTTTCCTCTCCCCATCCCCACTTCCTCCCCTGGCTAGAACCGTCCCCGCACCTGAAATGAACCAGCTGCTTATTTTCCTGCAGCCGCAGGGCCACATGGGCCGTGGAGGAATCATGGGTTCAGGACATGCCCCTCTGTACTGTGGAGGATGCCACCAAAAGACACCTCTGCCAGAGCACCAACCTAGGGGCCCCTCGGCCTGAAGGCTCCTCTGAGGTGTGGTCTGCCCCATAAGAAACAGTCTCCTATAAAGTCAGGTGCATGTTGGCTCCTTGCCAGGGAGCAAACACCTCCCATAGAAGCGCTGAGAGATGATCTGTGAAGAAATAATGGGAGCAGGGACACCCGAAGCTGACACCTCCCAGGGGAAATAAATCTGGTGCTTCCCCCCACCCCCGCTCCTCCCTTTCAGCCCACAGGAGGCCCTGTAGGGCAAGCCGTGCCAACCAACCTCCTTTCCCCTCTCCAGGTATCCAGCAGCTGCGACTACGTGTTTGTGAGTGGAAAGGAGTCACGCGGGTCCATGAATGCCAGGGTCACCTTCCGCTATGACATCCTCAATGCCCCCCTGGAAATGACAGTCTGGGTCCCCAAGCTGCCCCTGCACATTGAACTCTCGGATGCACGCCTCAGCCAAGTGAAGGGCTGGAGGGTACCCATCCTCCCCGACCGGAGGTACAGCCTTACACACCCAGTGGATACTCGGCAGACTCACAGGTGGACACAGCCCTGGCACAGGGTCTGATCCACGTATGTGTATAAGGCCCTAGGTGTACACAGGCTGCAGGTCGGTTAGGCAATCAACAAACTTTTATTGAGCAGCTACTGTGTGCCAGGCACAGGTGGGTGCTTGAGACATGGGGTGAGTGTGGCCAGTGCCTGATCCAGCCAAGCTCTGGGTCTATCAGGGAGGCTGTCCTGTATGTGCTACAGGACACAGTAGACACAGGAAGCCCTCTGTGTGGGGAATCAAGTGACACAAAGGAGAGAACCGCCTGTTCCTCTAGAACAAGTCAAGGCAGGCTTCCTGGAAGAGGTGACTCTTGGCTAAGTCTTAAAGAATGAGTGGAAGGGAGTTGGCTGGGAAGACAGGATGAGAGAGTAGCCAGGCCACAGACAAAATGGAGCAGACGCGCAACACAGAAGCACATACACCTACATACGTGTACCTCAGCCTGTGCACACCAGGGGCACACTCGTGAGTGCCTCAGCCCAGGCATACAGCGACACACACCAGGCTCCCTTGCTGGCGGGGCCTCACGCACCTGAGTGCACATCTCTGGGGCATGCGCTCCACTCGCCCCTCACTCTGCTGCTGGAGAGGGGAGCCGGCAGGGCAGAGGAAGGAAGAGGGGCCGGCAACTGACAGGGGAGGGGCTGGGCTGGGGGAGAAGCCGGTGGCCAAGGGAGAGCTGGGCTCAGTTCAATTCTGCAGAGATGAGGAAAAGCCAGACCGTGTGGATCAGAGCCTCTCAAACTTGAACATGCACATGAGCTCCCGAGGAGCCTATTAAAGTGCACATTCTGATCCCGTGGGTCTGGGAGGGGGCCTGTGATTCTGCCCTGGGCCCAGCTCCCAGGCCAGCTTTGAGTCATGAGGGCATGGTGAACTCTGAAGGGAGACAGACTGGGTTTAAATCCTGACTGCTGTTTCCTAGCTGGGCAACCTTGGACTACCTAACCTTTCTGTGCGCCCCGTTTCTTCATCTGCAAATGGGCACGTTGACACTTACCTCAGCATGGTTGTGAGGATGGGTTAACCCAGGTAAAAGAGCCTCCTGTGAATGGGTATTGTGGTTGTTTGATTCATCCACAGCAGTAGCAAAGCATGAGCCGTGTCCTTGGCTCGCTCTCTCCAGAGCATGCTCTCCTGACCGTGGATCTCCTGGTTTTAGCATCTTCGGCAACCTGGATAGGCTGAATTTCCCGAATCATCCAGTCCTGGCTCCCTTTTCCTTACTGGTGCTTTCCTCAGTTTACCTCTCTCCTCTTGGGTTTTCCTATAAGCAGCAAAAGGTACCAGGCCACACATTCCACGCGGTGCCTGGAAATCTCAGGCAAATATCCAAGTGCATCACTTCCAAGTTCTGCTCGCCCCCAGCTGTAAGGGCACCCCCCAGCCAAGCGGTCTGGCCCTCTGAACGAGGAATGCCTTCGCTCCAGTTTAGAGCGGAGAACAGGGCCAGGCGCCGGCTCAGCGCTGAAAAAGAGACCGCGCTTGTCAGGATCCAACCCCGGCTATTGTCAGGCATGGGTGAAACCCCGCAGAGGCCGAGAGGGCCAAGGGGTGGGGGTGGGGGGCAAGAAGGCACCTTTCTAGGAGCGAAAAGGCTGGGGACTCCTGGCTCCGAGCTGGTCAGAGACAGAAGGAATGGGACTGGGGTGGGGGGGAGGCTTGCCGTGTGCCCAGCGCCCACCCACGGGAGGCGGGGAGGGGCCCGTAGCCCACACGGGTGAGGGAGGTGACTTGTGCAGGTCGGAGGCAGGCGGAGAGCCCTGAGCCCTGGCCTCCCCCCCCCCCGCAGGTCGGCCCGGGAGAGTGAGGACGAGGAGGAGGAGGAGGAGGAGAGGCGGCAGAGCGCCAGTCGAGGCTGCACCCTGCAGTACCAGCACGCCACCCTGCAGGTCTTCACCCAGTTCCACACGACGTCTTCCGAGGGCGCCGACCAGGTGGTCCCCATGCTGGGCCCAGACTGGCTGGTGGAGGTCACCGACCTGGTCAGCGACTTCATGCGGGTGGGGGACCCCCGAGTGGCACGCATGGTGGACAGCAGCACGCTGGCTGGCCTGGAGCCGGGCACTACCCCCTTCAAGGTAGGCACAGGGGCACTGCGTGGGCAGAGAACACAGATGTCCCCGGGACAGGGTTTCTAGGGCCTCAGCCTCTGGGATCAACCCCAGCAGGCCCCCAAAACACACTCTCTGCCCCTCAGCCCGCCCCCACCCCCCGTGCCTGAAACCCCACCATCAGCGGTAAGCTCCTTTCACTTCCCCTCGGCAAAGGATCTCCCCACAAGCCCTGTTGACCTTTACCAACCCTGTATGGCTCGGTGTGGTCCCGGAGAGCAGGTGTGGGTGGGTGGGGGGGGGCTCAGGAATGGGAATTCAGGGACCTAGGAACTCAAAGCTGACCCTCCTCCTGTACACCTGGGTGCCTGGGTAGAAATCATCCCTCTAAGAGATGGTGAATAGTGTGACCCATTGGCTAGAATCTGCCTGCAGATGTATTTATCTGTAAAGCAACTGATCCAACATTGAAACAATTGGCAGCTCTCTCATTTTTAAAAATCTAGACTTCCGGTTTTACAAAATATGAATCTGGCAACCCTGGGCCTACATTCCCACCTGGCAGTAACTGGCTGGAGTCAATACTGGTGCCCCCCCTTCATGAGCACGAGTTCTCCTATTTGCCACAGTCCCCACCACTCCCTTTTGTCTCTCATTGAGGCCAAACACCAGTTGCTATTCATCACTGTGTGGGGCTATTGTTTACCTTAAATTCTGCCTAACTTTTCTCATCTGTGTTCCTGCCTGGCTCCTGTGAGCCCTTGGACCCTGATTTCCAGCTGCAGCCCTAAGGCAGAGCCTAAGAGTCCAGCCTCCCAGCCTGCCACCCCCCAACCCTGCCACCCCGCCACCCCACCACCCCACCACCCCGCCCTGTGCTCCGGGCCTCTCTTCCAGCAGCGCTGGGACTCCTCCGTGGCTGGGAATCCTGGGGGTGCTGCTTTCCTGGCCTTCGCTCACCCCTGCCCCACTCCGCCTCAGGTGGTGTCCCCACTGACAGAGTCTGTGCTTGGGGAGACGCTGCTAACAGTGACGGAGGAGAAGGTCAGCATCACACAGCTGCAGGCCCAGGTGGTGGCCAGCCTCGCCCTCTCCCTGCGGCCCAGCCCAGGGAGCAGCCACACCATCCTGGCCACCACGGCCGCCCAGCAGACCCTCAGCTTCCTCAAGCAGGTAACCGGATGCCCAGCCTGCCAACCTGGGGGCTTGGGGTATGGAAGGAAGAAGGAAACTCCAGTCTGTCCTTGTGCTATCAGTCCCCCAAATTCAGGCTTTAATGGAAGATCTGTCTACCCTTGGTGCCCAGCACACCTGGCCCACCCCATTCCCCGGCCATCTGCACAGGGAGTCTGGCCGCCTCCACCCCTAGGAATTACCCCCACCCATCTCTGGAGCCCCAGCTGCAGCCCCACACACCGGGGCACAAGACAGAGGTGGAAAGGTGACAGGCAGGAGCACAGGGAGCCAGAAGGCAGGTGTTGAGCACTGACCCAAGAGTCTCCCTGCCCCTAACTTGCTCCATGACCTCAGGCCAAGCCCTTCTCTTAGAGCCCTGCTTCCTCATCTGTAGGGAAGGCATTTCTCAGGATGTTTTAACAGAGGAGAAGGCTGGGGTGGGGTGTGTGTTCTCAATCTCCACATGTCTAATGGGGGTGATCCTAAGGTCAGGCATGGAGATACGGGGTTATTCCTGCAGCAAAAGGGACTTGAGGTAGACCCAAGGCAGAACATACATTCAGCTCATCAAGGGGAGAAGGATGAGTGGACAGGGAAATTCTTAGGGCGGTATGAGGCCACAACATACCCCTTACCCTGCCCACAACCTCCAGAGGAGGACTTCCTGCTCCCACAATTGTTCCTGAGCACCTGCCACTTGCCAGGCACGGTTGCAGTGCCGGGAATACAGCCGGGAGCCAGAGTACCGCGGTCCCTGTCCTCATAGAGCTCGGCATCTGCTCAGCACCTAGCGGTGAAGCCAGCCAGGACTAGCTCTCTGACTCCTGACCCCTTCTCCTCCTCCTCCTCTTCCTCCAGGAAGCCCTCCTGAGCCTCTGGCTCTCCTACAGTGATGGCACCACCGCCCCCCTCTCCCTCTACAGCCCCCGGGACTACGGGCTGCTGGTGAGCAGCCTGGACGAGCAGGTGGCCACGGTGACCCAGGACCGGGCCTTCCCGCTGGTGGTGGCGGAGGCCGAGGGGGCAGGGGAACTGCTGCGGGCCGAGCTCACCATCGCCGAGAGCTGCCAGAAAACCAAGCGCAAGAGTGTGCTGGCCACGACCCCCGTGGGTCTGCGGGTGCACTTTGGGCGGGACGAGGAGGACCCCACATACGACTACCCGGGGCCCAGCCAGCCGGGCCCCGGTGGGGGCGGGGACGAGGCCCGGGGAGCCGGCCCACCGGGCACCGCGGTGCCGGCAGCCGAGGCCCCGGGCCCGGGCACCGCCAGCCCCGCCGTGCCGCCCACGGAAGACTTCCTGCCGCTGCCCACCGGCTTCCTGCAGATGCCGCGCGGGCTGACGGACCTGGAGATCGGCATGTACGCGCTGCTGGGCGTCTTCTGCCTCGCCATCCTCGTCTTCCTCATCAACTGCATCGTCTTCGTGCTGCGTTACCGGCACAAGCGCATCCCGCCCGAGGGCCAGACCAGCATGGACCACTCTCACCACTGGGTGTTCCTGGGCAACGGGCAGCCGCTGCGGGGGCAGGGGGAGCTGTCCCCGCCCACGGGCAACCCGCTGGAGACCGTGCCCGCCTGCTGCCACGGCGACCACCCCAGCAGCGGCAGCTCGCAGAGCAGCGTGCAGAGCCAGGGGCACGGGCGGGGCGATGGCTCCTCGGGCGGCTCGGCCCGGGAGCAGGCCGAGGACGCTGCCAGTTCGCCCACCTCCAAGCGCAAGCGGGTCAAGTTCACCACCTTCACCGCGCTGCCCACGGAGGAGCTCGGCTATGACTCAGTGCCCGCCGGCGAGGGGGAGGAGGACGACGAAGAGGATCTGGGTTGGGGCTGCCCAGACGTGGCGGGCGCCACGCGGCCCACCGCGCCCCCAGACCTGCACAATTACATGCGCAGAATCAAAGAGGTGGCATAGAGGCGCCGTCCGCCCAGGGGGTGGGCTCTGCGTGGGCCACGGCCGGGAGCCCTGCTCACACCGATGCAGGCTGGCTGAAGTGGATTTTGTACTCCCTGCCCCTGCAGCTTTGCTCTGTGCTGGGCGGCCAGCCGACCCCACGTGGTCCTTCCCGCCACCTCACCCCACACCCGATTCTGCCACCGAAGGTGGAGGGCTCCTTCCTCAGGAGCTTGCTAGGAGGAAAGCAATCCCAGCCCTCGTTCTACCCTTTCCAGACCTCCTCCCATCTTACACAACCCCCTGCCCCAAAAGTGAGGCATGGAGGCCAAGCTTGGGGTGAGGCAGGCCTACACTGTGCCCCTGCCCCCCGCCATGTCCCCTGTCTTCCCCCTGTGCGGGGCGGGGGGGGGGCTTTGGGGGGTCTTGTGTCACAAGCTGCACAAAGACTTTTCTCAAACCACTATTCAGGGATTTCTGTCCTGCAGGGTGGGGAGGCGGCGGCTGCCTGCCCTGCCAAGGATCTTGCTGTGGACAAAATATCGGGGGGATGGGGGGACACTTGTAGCATCTGTTGGCTTCCAGGTGCTCCCCAGCCCCTTCCCAGCACCTGGGAGCTGACCGTACAGAGGGGTCTTGGGCCAAGCCGGGCACCTTCCTGAGATCTCAGGACTCCCTCCTCTGTCCCCACCGGCTGTGGGCAGGGTCCTAAATGGGGAGGAGCCCTGGGCCTGCCCCTAGTAAGCCACACCCCAGCACTGTGGTCTGGGTGGCCCAGGGAGGCTGGGTCCCCCTGCTGAGCCCAGAGCGAGGTCAACACTGCGCCTTAGCCCTGCCCCTCCCGCTCTGCTGACCACTCCTTCCTCTCTGCAGGGGCAGCCACCCATCCCCCCAGGAAGCGGAATCTGGTGAGAGGGGGAGAGGGTACCGGGGGATGCGGTGGAGGACCTTGGGACGGGCAAAGGCAGCAGGGAGCTGGGCATCTCCCCTACCCCTCCCGGCCCACCGCCACTTCTCTCTTGGGTTCTACCCACCACTGTGTCGGATTTTCTTAAATAAATGGGGGTGACCAGACTGGACCGGAGCAATAGCTCCCGGGGAACAGAAAGTGCATGGTGCCCGGCTCTGTGTCTCGTCCTTGGGCGTGTGTGCACACGCACATGCCCCCGCACACGGCGGACACGCTAAATGACACGAGATCAAAACGCAGCGGAACCGGGCTACAGTCCTTCTGCTCCTCCAACATCCACGTCCCTTTGGACCCTCTGGGGCTTAGGGGCTGCCTGCCTCAGGAGATGAAGGATTCACTGACCCAGAAAGTGCCCTTACAAAGAGGCACTCCTCTAGGAGTTGCCCTGATTGACTTGGGAGGGTGGGGCAAGCCTCAGGGCCTCCAGAGAAAAGGCTGGGCAGGGTGAGGGGCGCAGAAGAATAAGGAGAGGGGCAGGAAGGGATTGGTGTGCACACCTGAGCTCACACTGGACTCCTTCTCCACCTTCAGCCCATCCTCCAGAGCAGGTCCCTCCTGCTCACTGTCACTGTCGCTGCTCAGGGAGGCCTCCCGTCTCCATGGAGGAAAGCCGGGGGGTCTCTATGGCAGAGAGCCAGGCAGGAGAGAGCAAAGGCCGTTGGGTAGGCCTCTCCCTCTCAGCAGGCCAAGGGCTAGCCCACAGCCTGTCAGGGCACATCTGGCCGGTGTGTATGCATGGGGCCTCCCGTGGCCCTGGGTCGCCACTCCCCAGAACGGGCAGTAGCCCGAGAAGTGGAGGTGGGGACAGGCGGCCTGGCCAGAGGCAAGAGCCCAGCCAAGGCTGCCTGGCCAGCCTCCAGGGCCCCAGCCAGGGGTCTACAGCCACCAACATCTGTCCCACAAGGTACCAGGGACAGGCCTAAGGCTGCATTGGCACCCACCCCGACATGCTATTTCCCACCATGGAAGGAAGCCTGCCTTCCATAGTCATCTGCTCAACGGATCATGGCAGCCTTCGGAGTGCTGGGAGGACCAAAGCTCCTAGCACAGCCCCTGCTCGGAGAGGCTCTCAGCAAACGGAGTTTCTCAGACCTTAATGTTCAGGATCCATTGGTTTACTCAGCACACTAAGCTCCTACTGTGCACCGGGCCCTCCCGGGGAGCATGGAGGCAAAACCAGGGGTCTGCCCCTAGGAGCCCCAGCCCTGCTGGGAAGATGGACGTGTCAGCTGGCCACGGTTATCTGGAATGATTGATGCCATGTGTGATAGCTTCACCGTGGGTTGGTGGGACACAAAGGAGGAGAGAGGAGACATTCTCAAACTGAGTTTGCTGAGGACGGAGCCAAGGGCATTCCAGGAGGGGAAGCCAGTGGGCATGAAGGCCCGGAGGCCGCATACCCCATGCCCTGTGCTTTTTTTTTGCTGCCATATCTCTGTGCATGTTTCCTTTGTTTTTCTATGCACATATTTCTGGAATATGAGTCCCCAGTGGTGGGAGAAACACGAAACACACATGCAAAGTTGCAGAGGCCAGAGGCAGTGTGGTGGGTTCAGCATGGACTGGGGGGTCAGGCTCAGACTTGAGGTTCGGACTGTTTCCCTCTGACCTGGTGATGGAAGGAAGATTTGGGGGGGCAGGGGAACCAGTTCGGAGGATGCTGCAGCAGAAGGGACAAGAACCAGGGCAGCGGGAACAGAGCTGGGTGGACACCATGGCATTCAGCTGTGGAACTGCCAACCGCCTTGTCCCGCATGGGGATGAGGGGGAGGGGATATGAGCCACTGCTGGACACCAAGACCTCCTGCCCAAATGAACCTCGGAGACCAGGCCACTCCAGGAGACAAAGTGGATGCTACCGTAATGGTGTCTGTCAGCACCCACGCTTTCACACACAGGGAACCCCGCGGAAGGGGACCGTTGGCCCAGAGTCACCCGGCAAACTTCATAATGGAGCCGGAGCCCTGCCTGCCGCCCTGTCCTGTAATCCGTGCCCCTTCCTCTCCATTCCTCAACCCCTGTCCAAATGCGAGAACTCAGAAGCAATTGCTAGAAATGGCAAGTCTTGACCCTCGTGTAGTTCGAGAGGGAGCAGGCTTGGAGGGAACAAGGCAGGACATTAAGTTAACAGCCCCTCTGGAATGGCCCTGGCACTGAACTTCCCTTTAAAAATTTGTCTTCAACCCCAAAAACGAATCGAGGGACCTTGTAAAGAGTAGTTATTGACAGAGAGCTGCTCGGGGAACACTGGGACCCCAGGCCCATGAATCAGCTTGCTGGCAAAATGAGATTTCTCAGACAGCCAGGCCCGGCAAAGGCAGAGCCGGAGGGATGGAAAAATGGCCTCAAGCCTGTGCCCACCCCAGTGCTCAGCTCCCTGCCCACCCCCCACCCCCCTGCCAGCTCCCTGCCCACCCCAGCCCTGCATGTGCTTCCATGCCTGTCTTCAACAAATCTTCACAGGCACCTACTAAGTGCCAGGCACGATGCTCCCCTTAAGAGAAGGCTTCGGGAGGAGAGGGAGAGGCCTTGGAGCCAAACTGAGTACGCTGAAAATGCAATAAATGGGCCAGAGAAAGGAAACCCTCACTCGAAGGGAGGATACTTCCTACGACAAGTCGGCAAGGACTCCCGGAGTCTGACAGCACATTTGCTGTGTGACCTTCAGCCAGTCTGTCGCCAGCTCTGGGCCCTCGTTTCCCCAATTGGACAAACATGGAAATCACCACTGCTAGGCAGTGTCCAGTGACCTCCCTCACGAGGCCCCACTGTTTCAACACCTGTATCGCCAACAAGAGCCTAGATAGATAGGAATTATAACTGCCATGTTAAAGAGATAGGAACACAGAGGGGGCGAGTGACTTTCCGATGGCTCCAGCTCAGAAGTGACCTGGTGGGCACCCACAAATCTATGCTCTTTCTGCTACATCTTTAGGCAACATTGGCAGTTGGAGGGGAATGAGGTTGCAGAGCTTTGGAGGTTGGGAGGGGTTTAAGGAGGGGTCTCTAAAGATTCGATGTGCTCAGTTATGGGGGCAGCCTGTGGGGCCACCGCTGAAGGCATAGATCATGGGTAGTGTGGGGGGACAGACGGAACATTGTGAGCACCATGGCCTCGCTGTCACTGTTAGCGGGACAATACTCCCTCCCCTACCGAGAGCATTATACGACGTGTCTCATGGCACCGAACACATAAATAGCAGACAGCGTCAGGCAGGATTCAAACCTGGATTACATGGCTCCAAGTTCCAGATCTTCCCACTGCCCCACACTGCCCACCTCTCGGGGACCTGGAGCTCGGAGGATCGTTCTGATGCAGAGGTAAGAACACCGGGCTGGGAGCCCAGGGGTTTGGTGTGGGTTCTCTCAGCCACGGACTGAGCCCCATGTGTGGAATAAGCCCGGACCCTCAGCTAGAATCCAGGGGCCAGATGGTCCCTCGAGTGCCTTCAATCTTGATGGTTTGTGTGCCTTTAGGTGTGAAGCCCTGGGCACCACCCAGCCCTGCCACGTCACACCTCCCCCTCCATAGAGATAGAGCTACTGCGGGGGAGGAGGGAGGGTCACAGGCTTCCGTGGTCTTCGGCTATCCTCAAAGCTTTGTCAGCTCTGCCATCCTCTACCTGATGCCACTATGGGTTTGCATTTGCCGTGTTGGGGTGGGAAGAGCATAGTGGAGGAGCAAAGCGGGGGTGGGAATGGTGACTATCCTGTGCACGCCAGAGGGGCAGTGAGTCGCGGGGCTAGGACAGAACTTGAATTGTCCCCTGCCCTCAGGGAGCTCCCAGTCTGAGGGGAGAGACCAGATTCTGTTCCATGGGAGCTCCCAGTCTTAGAGAAGATGAACACGCCCTGTCCTACAGCAGCTCCCGATCTGAGGGGGGAAACAAGCCACCTGCCCTTGACAAACACCCCGTCTGATGAGGGAGACTGGTCACACCCTGAAGAAAAGACATCGTGTATTCAGAGAGACATACAAACAGGTGCAAGTAAGCCCAAAGTACTTGATGCATGCACTTAGCCCACAGAGCAGAGGGAATGAAGTAAATGTGGAAGGCAGGCACGAATCCAGAGAGGCCGCCTGGAGCAGGGTTGTCGGTGGCGCTGAGGGGAGGCATGAGGTAGTTTCTACCAGATGGCTGGGAAGTCAGGACCCAGCACTCAGGGGCTTGGGAGGTGGGATGGATTTCTCCTGGCTGAACGGAGGGAGCTCTACGGGAACCCAACCAAGAGGAGTGGGTGTGAGGAGGGGAGGAAGTGACCCTCCCTCGGGTGACCCTGGAGAAGCCCCAGGCTGCTGGGGAGAGCGCCGCTGTCCAGGCGTGGGAGAGGCCGGGGAGAGGCCCCAACCCTTTCTGCCCCTCAGGGAGGAAAAGGAGGCCCAGAGTTGCAGAGGGAAGGACGGTGGGCCTAATGAAGAGGGGCTGGAATGAAGACAGGCAGCACTCTGGGCTCTCGTGTACCCAGGGGGTCTCTGCAAAGAGGCGTTGCTGCGCATCCGCAGAAATAACCTTGGCGGGGTGGGGGGGGGTGTTGGTTGTCTGCATAGGACCTTGTTGGAGGGAGGGCTGGTCAGGAGCATATTTTGCCCTGCCATATTTACCCCATACTTAAAACAATAAGTAAATACTCTCCTGGCACTCAGAAGCATTCCCATTTACACGCAAGCCATCACTGAGTTAATTACAAAGATTCTTATCTGTTCATTAAAGCAGACTGGAGGGCCCTCTATTTGGAAACACTTTGCAGTTAAAGGGACTATGTTATTAACTCTAATGAAATGATTTATTTTGGACTGGTGCCTAGTGAGGTAGAACCTAGGACCAGAAGCCTCATGGGGGGTGGGGTGCTCCCTGGTTCTCTGGGCTGATATTCTTTGTGCACAGAAGTCATGAAGACTCCTGCGGGAAAAGGGGACAGAGATCTGGAGAGATTAACACCTCTCCTGTGGATGGAAGGAGTCCCGCTGAGGCTGGCTGGACAGGAAGGGACCCCAAGTGACTTGGGGGTTACCCCAGCCAATCTGGCTTTGCCATGGAAAGCAGCAAAATCGATTCCTCCCCGAGCTCAGTTCCCTGTCTGTGAAATGGGGACAAGATAGCACTTACCTCACAGGGTTCTGGAGAAGATGAAATGAGTT